GGCCTTGGGGGCACCGGGCCCTTTTCCCACGGAATAGAAGCACAGGAAATTGCCCGAGGTGACCACGGGAATTGAGTTCCGTCGCGGGGGACTGGCCGCGGCGACTGCGTTGGTCGCCCCGCGGTGGGGTCGGAGGTAAGGGAGGGGAGGATAATACAGAAGAGTGACGAGGAGAAATGGATGAGTTTCCAGTTGCGCTGGCTGGCTGGCCCTCGGGGCCGCTGGAGACTGCTGGAGACGCGTTCCGTTCGCCGCCGCGGCCCTCGGCGGCACTCGGCACGGTCCCCGGCACGGTCCCCGGCACGGCTATCCAGATAACGACGCTGCCCGGAGTCCTATCGGCTTTCACTCAACATCCAGTTTTTTGTTTGTTTTGGGTGTGTTTGTTTTCCAAGCCTGGCCTGGATGTCAGTCCGCGTTGTCCGTCGCCCCGAGGAGGAAGGAATTGACGCAGTGCTGCAACAGCATCCAGAACAAGCTTCGCAATGATTGGATTTCTGGCTGGGACTGTACGTGTACGTCGGGCAAGTTGGCGCGCGACCCTGAAAGGCTTTAGAAGCAGACGGGGACGGAAGCGGAACGAGAAGAAGGAGAAGGATCCGCGAGAGCTGGTCATTCTGCCGGGGCCGGGGGCGAACCAGCTGCCCGCGACCTCGCTCTCCTGTTGTCCGCACCAAATTTATTGTGTAAATACACGATACGGCTGTGTGTGTGTGTGTGTGTGCGTGTGTGAGCGTGTATGCGAGCGCGGGGCTGAGTATGAATGCGCGGGGAAAGGGGATGAAGCGCAGGACAACAGGCCGGCGAGTCGCCAGCACACTGCGCTGTATTAGATAATGCATGGAAGGGCGGGCGGGGCGGGGCGTGGCGGGGCGTGCGCTGTCAGGTGTCCGGCATGACGCGGCGCGCTTGCGCCCCACGCGGCTGGACCGCGACAATGGCGGGGCGGGGCGGGGCGGGGCGGGGCGGGGCTGCAGCGCAAGCAGAGCTCGGTTACCGCGTGCCGTCTTTGTCTCACCCGGCCGCCGTTCACACGCGCGCCACCAGCCGTCGTGTGCGCAGCGCGGCGCAGCTGAGCGATGCCGTTTTATGTTTTATTGTTGGGCCGAGCGATATCGCGCCAAGCGGCGTGCCTGTGAATAGGGGCCGCGGAAAGTGATTCGTTCTGAGAGTGTCTGTGTGTCTGTCAACACACACGTTTCTCGATAACGACAACACGGACGGTTCCCATCTATTTCATCAAGGCACGGCACTCCAACTGCAGGGACTGGGGTTCGACACCCGCCACGACTCCCTGAGGGCAAACGCCTGTGGAGCGGAGGGCAGGCAACCCAACGTGCAGCGAGGCGCCGCGCGCGGACTGCGCAACGGGCGGCCCTCGGGGCGGCCGGCCACCCACCCGCCTTTCCTCAGCTCGTCTCCAGATTGCACCAGCCTGCCCTCGCCGGGGAATATTTTCTGCGGAAATTGGCACAAGTCTCGACGAGGGGCAAACAACTTGAATTTAGGTGTACATTTTCCGTGAAATAACGTGAAATAACGGTGAAATAACGTGAAATAACGGTGAAATAACGTTGAAATAACGCCAAAATAAGCGTGAAATAGCGTGAAATAACGGTGAAATAGCGCGAAATAACGTGAAATACCACGAAATAACGCGAAATAACGTTGAAATACCCTTGAAATAACGTTGGAATAACAATGAAATAACGTGAAATAACGTGAATTTGAAATAACGGTGTACAAATTTTGACGAAGTTGTTTGCCCCTCGAGTCTCGATGATGTGTCACCAGGCCGAGATGGGAGAGGGCGCTCCCCAAAAGTGAAAGAGGGCTCCCTGCACTCCCGCCCGCCTCGTTCCAAGGTTCGAATCCCAACTTTCCCGATTTTTTTCCTCGGGGGTGGGCCATTCTTTCACTTCTGAGCTCTGCTCTCCCGAGGCGAAGCGTCTGGCCTCCCGGTGCAACTTAGTGCCTCGTCGTGACGCAGTGGCTGCCCGGCGGTCTTAACCGTGAGTAGTGGACCCCGGACTCCCGACCCCCGCAGCGACGGCACAGCGGCGGCAGCGCGCGGGTCAGGCCCACCGCCAACGCCTCACCCAGCACACTGAGAGCCGCTTCCGTCGCTGTCACTCTCATTCATTGGGCGTCCTGGACAGGTGCAAGAGAGACGGAGCGACGAAACCGACTCTCGGAATCAGTGTACAGCCTCAGAAAGGAATAAGCCGGCAGGAATTCGCCGCTGGAATGACTGTTGGCCGTACTTTTTTTTCGGGCAAATGCCACGGCACGGCACGCTGGCTCTCTTCATGTTTTGCATTGCCATTGTTTCGCTACCCGGAAAACTCAATGGAATGGCGAAGTGGTTTTTCGTCTTGGCGTGCAGAGTTGCCGATCGGCTCCTGCGGGTCGCGCGTTGGGTGCATCGCGCGCAGGGTGCAGGCAGGGTGCCGTTGGCCCGGACGGCCACTATTTCTTGCGGCCCGTTTTCAGGATTCCGACCGCGCTCCGCTCTGCTCCGCTCCAGCGGGGAACACAGTGGCAGCGCCAAGCAGCGCCAAGCGACTCCTCGCCGCCCTTGGAGCAGCGCGCGCGTCCGTGTGTCCCTCTGTGTCCCTCTCACGCCCCACGCGACGCCCCGCGAGTGCGAGAGAGAGGGGCCTGCGCCTGCTCGGAATCAGTCTGCTGGCGCGCGCGCGCGCGGCCCGGACCTCCGCCTAATATTTCCTGCGTTATCTGGTGGCTCGCGCCCTCTCTCTCTGTCTCGCGCGCTATCAGGACGACTCGCACTTACTCCTTTCTCGCACAGCTCTCCGCCGCCGCAGCGCGCTGCCACCGTAATCCCGACAAATTTTTGGCCGGGACGCTGCGCTCGCCGCTCGCAGCGCGTCGTGTCGACGACGAGCGGCACGCCGAAGAGCGGCGCGCCCAGCCGACGCGCTGACGCCGAGGAAGGCGAAGCACTCGACAAGCACGTTTTGGCAAGGGACCCAAGGTGGATGTGGCCGGGTAGGCCACTGTGAAATTACACTTCAACCCGGCAAGACAGAGCGACGAAAACGACTCTCGGAATCAGTCTGCTGAGGCCGGTCGGCCGCTCATCTCCGCCATCACCACACCGCCGCGCCGCGGGACTCGATCCGAATATTCGGACCGGATTCTCGGATTAAACAGGCAAGGCGCACGAGGGCGGCCGAGGGCGGCGGTCCTCCGGGAGCGCTAAATTGGCTGGCTGGCTTGGTGGCGCGCTGTTTGCCCTGCCGCAGCGCGACCGCGTGGCGACGCCATGGCGACGCCCAGAGAGCCGCCGCCGCGGTTCGGCGCTCGGCAGCAAGCTCGGCAGTCGTTAGCGCAGGCGGAAACACGGAACAGACGCTTGTTCCGGCGATGGAGATTTATCCAGTGCGCTGTTAGACGGTAAATGGAGCCGTCAATGGAACGGCGGGTACACTCGTTACGGCGCCACCGAGTGCCCGGGTGGAAAGATCTGTAAATTTTTCTGTACTTGTAAAGTGCAACTTAACTCAGTTTAAGACTGCAGGACAACTATTGAACGTCTCGAGATAAAGTGAAGTAAATCTATTCTTTCTAAGTTTAAACCGTTTGCAAAACAATGGTAGTCAGACTGCAGATGGATCAATGCAGTTTCAGTGCAGTTAAACTACAGTAAACTACACTTAGAGTGTAGTTTTTTTAGTGAAACTACAGTTTGACTGCAGTTTGAATACAGATATTCTGGTAGTATTTTCGAACACTGCAGTTTCGGTTGCAGTTTCGACCCTAATTAAAAGTAGGGTCGCAGGTGTATGCGACAATTATAATGGTAGCTGTAGTTGCGAGTATAGTGTTCAAATTTCAATCGCAAAATTAAAAAAAAAAAAAAATTCCTTTTTTGGGAAGCTTTTTTGAACCCCGTCGCCTCTCATTCTGTAGAGAAACTGTTTTTCGATGTTGAAGTTGTTGGACTTGGGCGGTACTCGATCGTCGGTCCTTTGGGTTGCGAGTCAGGTGTGTTATCCACTACGCTGGCAAGCGGGCATGCGAGCTGCTGCATCCGACCTGGACCACATCATAAGGCCTGTTCTCGGGGCACACCGGTCGGATGGTGCAGTTTAACTGCAGTTTCATTGCAGTTTTACAATAGATTATTTGCACTCGATCCTTATCCACATCGTTTTTCTTCGCCATTGTCATCCTTTAAGTGACGTCCACTGTGTGCTTTACCGGCAGAAGTTTTTCGAAAAAGGGGTTGGTGAAAAATGACAGAGTAGCTAATTTCTGTCTCACTGCGGGGTTGTTTTGGTTTCCACGGGTAAACAAGACAAAATTGGAAACCCCGTAAGAACCCCCAAAGAACTACTGCAGTCGATTGACGTTCCCATCTAACGTTGAGTCTGCAAATCTTGTACGCAATACGAAACTGTAACCTACGAATAATATTTTTGCAATTCAATCAATAATCGAAAAAGCACCTTTCAAGTATACTGGGTATGTGCAAAAACTAATGCAGAGAAGAGCACAGTTGCGACTGAGCTTGGAACGTAGAGATAAAACTGCAGCCAAACCGATAAAATTCTAAAATGAGAACTACTGTATAGCTTCCCGTCCAAACTACGTTTCGGAAATGCAGACAGAAGCAAGTTAAACTTAAAATTGAGTCATCGTTTGGAGTCTAGTGAGGAGTCTAAACGAAACTTCTTGGAAAGTACATCCAAACTGCATTCCTAACTACTTTCCAGACTGCGGTCCAAAATATAAATAAAATCTTTGGTTTTTCTCTATTTTGACTGCTATAAGAATTGCAGTTTGGGCACTACAGTCTACGACTACAGTCCAGACTAAGTCAAAACTAAACTTCTTTCCACCCGGGTGTACGCCCATCAAGGGCGCCTCCTGCGGCGCCTGTGCACCGTGGACAGCGAGTGGAGGCAGTTGTGTGAAGCTTGAGGAACAAAGTGAAAGCGTTTGTCGTCTCTCTCTCCATTCCGCAAAAGACTCACCTAATCATCTGAAAAAATGTAAAAAATTAAAATATGAATTTGAGTTTGTAGTCATTTATTTAGAAGAAGGGATAGGTATTCACAAACATTAAAGTACATAAAATAACACTTAACCACGAAAGAAACTTTCTACTAGCCTAAGCGACCTCTGATATAATTTACTTTGTATGACAGAAGAATGTAAGTTGCGGGTTTGGACGTGGGAAGTGAAAAGTTTCGTATCGTCTTAAATCAAGGGTTTTCGAGAATCTTTCTGTGCAGAGCTTAAATTCGTGGGAAGGTGATCTTTCGAAAAACAAAAATTTCAACACCTTCGTTCTAAGACTTTAAACAACTTTGGACTTACGCAATATTTTCATTATATTTACAAATTTTCGTTTGAAAAATAATTCTTCCTATGTACATTGTTGGGAGAGCAATATCCGACAGACATCTGCATTCTCTATTTTTTTTGGTGTATGTTTTAAGTTACAGAAAGACAATAAATTAAAAAATCTTGTCGGCCCTCTGGATACACTTTGTTTAACACTTCTGCTGGGAACATTTTTTTTCTGCTTATCTTAAGTAAGAACAACCTCGGTTTCACCTATGAAGTGCTTTCACTTTCACAGTGAAACATACTATTGGTCGAAACGGCTGCCTCATCACTGTACGCACCACGACGGTGGTTTACAAAGTTAACGTTTCGTGACACTCGTAAGTTTAAATCAGTCGCATTTCGGCCCGCATGTGCGCCCCGTAAAGTTGCCGCTGCGCTCCGCTTTGAGAACCACGGTCGGGCCGGATGCGTGGGCGGTGCGGGATGGGGCGCGGCGGGGCGGGGCGGGCTCAGAGCACCGCCCGCGCGAGAATCGAGTTTTGTCACCTTCTCCGCACGACACTCCATACTTCCACTCTCAGAAAAGGCAGGTTTCACTTTTACGATATGGAGAACGCTCTCAGGCGTTTCCCGGAGGCATGGACCTCCCACCGTCTGTACAAAACTGACCTAGGCCTGCAATTCGGCAAGCGACTCCGAGAAGGCCAGTCCAAACGGCTGCCTGAAAAGTTCACAGTGTTCTTGGACACACGCGTTGACGGCGGTGCTGGCTCGTCCCGGACGCGGCGCCTTACGTGACGCCGACGGCGGTGGTGGCGAGGATGGCGGCGAGGACGGCGGCGGCGGCGCTCTGCGCGACGCTCGCGGACGCGGCGCGGCCCAGCGTGGTGGCGCCCAGCGCGTAGGCCGAGCCGGCGGCCAGGAAGGTGGCGGCCAGGCGCAGCCTCAGCGGCCGCTGCAGCTGCAGGCGCGCGGGGCCGCCGTTGCTGCCCGAGCTGTGCATCGTCTTGCCGTGGTCCGCCATCACGCTGGACGCCACCACTTCCGGCGAGTGGCCCGTGCTGCCCGCGCCGGAAGAGATGCTGCTCACCTCCGGAGCCACGCACATCTGAGGCAGGACGCACAAAACGTTAGACTCTCCGCGACACTGCAAGCGGAGCGCGAAGCGGAGGCACTAGCGGCACGCAGCGGGGAGATATTAGGAGCCGCCGCATCCTGGCCATAATTCAGGCTGCCAGCCCCGTCGGGGCTGCCTGGCCGAGGGCCTGGCCGAGGGCCTGGCTGCTCAGCAGGCAGCCGGACGCCGCGGCCACGCCCCGCGTAGGAATCGCTGTAAATAATGTGAGGAACGGAACAAGCAGGCAGAAAGGAGAGGGGGCGAAGGGGCCCGCAGCCAGACTCCTTTTCAACTCGCAAACCCGAATCTGCTTAAGGCGTGTTCGTGTTCCTGACCTGCGGCATGGGCGGCGCCGTGTAGTTGTCCCCGCCGCCTTTGCAGCGGTCCGCGAACTCGGCCAGGCAGGCGATGTAGGCGATGGCGTGCGGCAGGAAGGTCTGGTCCATGACGCCGCCCAGCAGCGCGCCGGCCAGTGGGCCCTGCGGACAGTGCGGACACAACATGAGGAGAGGCGCCTCCAGCTCCAGGGTCGCGCCCTCGCGCCCACAAGGAGGCCGCACCCACCTGGGAGTAGACGGGCACGTCCTCGCCGCCGTGCGTGGCCCACTGCCGGGGCACGGCCGCGCCGTGAACGCGGTTGCGGGCCTCCTCGTCCTCCTCGGCGGCCGCGGTGGTGCCGGGCGCGGCGTGCGGGGTGCCCGCCGTCAGGTTGGCCGGGACGGTGCGGGGCACGCTGTAGCCGGGGCCGTTGCCGTACAGCAGCGTCGAGTAGGGCATGCCGTCCACGTCGGACACCTTCGAGTCCACGCCTGCAACAGAGAAGAATAGGCGGTCACCCACAAGCAGGCCTGTCACGAGGGAAACCGATGGCGGAGACGCCACGTCCGCGACGTGGAAACACTCGGCGTTATAGCGACGCCTTCCCCCGCGCACGGCGCACCGCGCACCGCGCACGGCGCACGGGGTATCGCCGCCATCGATTGGCCGCCGCCGCGGACGTTCACACATTCATCACACTTTGTCATCGCTTCGCCCGCTTCGCCGCGGCGGGCGTCGGCATTGCATCGGCATTGCCGCGGGGCGACGGACGAAACGAATCGCAACGTCCGCGACAAGCGACGCCGTACTGCCACAGTGCTTCCGGCGTGGCGGTGCATCGTGCCGCCTGGCGGAGCGCGGCCCATTCTCCCCGTCCTCCGCGACATTATCGCACCTCCAAGTGGCCATCCAGGCCGCCATCCAGGCCGCCATCCAGGCCGCCGCCCCGGAGTCCCGGTCCCCGACGCCATCGCGCCATCGCGGCCGCGAATCGGACCGTCTATTGATTTAGCGGCCGTCGTTAACCTTCCTCGCATCGGTACGCCGCACGCCCCGCCGCCTCGACTCGCCGCCGGGCTGCCGAAAAACTACCCCCCGCCCCGGCCCGCCCCGCCAGTCTGGCCGTTGTTTCGTCGTTGTTGTTTTTGCTGTCAGGGCGGCCAGTGCCAACCTGCGGCGGCTGCGGCGGCTGCCTGCGGCGGGCTCTGCTGGCACCTATCGCGAAAGAGTATGTTTTATGGATTTGGGGCATTGTAACATGACCTCCCAACTGCCGTTTTGCGGCGGCTCCAAATAAATTACATTTGGAACATAATTCATGCTAACGCGTGGTGCGGAGCGCAGCGCGGCGGCCCCGCCCGGGGAGGAGGACGGCTTGCACAGAGGCGGGTGGGGGAGAGTGGGAGGAGGGAGGGGGGAGGGAGGGGACCGGGGCGGGGGAGGGCGTGATCTGGCGCTAAAGTAGCGCCACGGTAGAGCATCCATCCTGCAGCCGCCGCCCCGGCCGGCCGCCCCGCCCGGCCCCGCCTGCCCTGCCTCCTCGTCGCGGACCCCCGCCGGGGCGCTGCAATCGCACTGCTGCCGCCTTGCCTCCAACTTTGCCTGCCTCAGCCTTAATTTTCGCACCGATATGGGGCGACCCACATTCCACAAGGCGGCAGGAGGCGCGGTCCCCGTGCACTGACAGTCATACGCGGCGCCGCGATGTGGGTCGTCGATGTCCGCGGCGGTGCGGCGTCTATTTGCACGGCCTCCTATTTTCCCGCTTTCCGGCGCCGAGTCGCGATGAAGAGGCGCGGCACTTGAGAATCTCATATCCTGCTTTCCAATCTACCTTTCCATCTCACGGCCTCGCGACGACCTGACCTCGACGCCCTCCTCTAAATGCCCCTCCCCCTCCCTTCCAGAGCCCGGTGTGCGTCGCGGTGCCAAGAGGGCGTTTTATTGCCTGTTGAGGGCAACCGAGTAATCTGCTCTCCTGGCACAGCGGGGGAACGGAGAACGAAGCCACGGCCCCAAGAGTAGCAGGAAAGGTTCAAGGTGTGTGGGAATGTGGGGGGAGAGGAAAAAAAAGAAAGAAAACGAGAAGAAAGGGTTGGGTTTCGTCCAGACGACGTTTTATCCCGGACCTCTTCTGTGGCCGGCCCGCTTCCAGCCGTGTGACAGCCGAGGTGCAATATAAAGGTGCGTTGTTGGCGCGCGACCGTGTCTCCTGCCGAAGGGAGGGGAGGGGGCCTTGGAGGGGGCGGCCAGGGCGCCCAGCGCGGCGCGTCTCGCCACCGAGTGTACCACGACGAACGCCTACAGAACCGAGCCACAGTCCCTGGTGGTTCCTGGGCACGAAAGAGGAAAATCCGGTCGACATCTCACGAGCCGGAAAGTAGCCGTGGAAGTTCCTGGAGCAAGGCTGAGCGAAGCGCGCGCGTCAGCGGCAAGGCTGTAGCCCATAGTGTCCGAGGACGCGGTCCAGAAACCCATTTTCCGCGCGATTCGTCGCCGTTGTCGGGAAAGAGGCGGCGCCGCGGGACGAGGCGAGGCGCGAGGCGTGCCGTCTGCATTCCTACAAGCCCGGCGTCACTGCGCGGCAACGCGAGGCGAGGCGCGTGCCGCCGAGACGAGGCGACGCACAGGGCAGCGCGTCAAACGGCGACGGGGACGCAATTTCCGCGACGTCTTGTCGCCGGGTTCTCCGCCGCCGTCGTGGTCCTCACCCAGGATAGGGTTGCCCCGAGGCGTGGCCAGCCCGCCCAGGGTCAGCACGTGCGAGTGGTCGGCCGTGAGCACGATGAGGGTCTCGGTGACGTCCACCAGCTCCATGGCGGCCAGCAGCGCCGACTCGAGCGCCAGCGTCTCGTCCAGGGCGCGGTACGCGTTGTTGTAGTGGTGGGCGTGGTCGATGCGGCCGCCTGCAACAGAGGAAGACACCCGCATTGAACGACTGTACAGAACGGCCTGTAGACGGATTCAGAGTCGTTTTCGTCGTTCTATCTCTCTCACAGCTATACGCGACGCCCCATGAGTGCGAGAGGGACAGAGCTACGAAAACGACTCTCGGAATCAGTCTGCTGATTGTCGCAGTGTGGGCGCTTGTGCAAGCCTGCGCACATGGTGGGCGTGCCGTGCCCGGCGTGCCGCAGCAATCAGCCCGCCCTGCTTTTCCTTTCCCCGGCACACTGCACTGCACGTCGCAGTCCAGGCTGGCAGGCGGCAGGCCCGGTGCGTCGAACCAGGCCTCCCGATTCCGAGTCGCAGAGTGTTGCCACACGAGTAGGCCGGAAACCCAGTGTCGAACGGGTTGCCAGCCACTGCTACTTCCCGAAAGACGCGCAGCTAGACGCGCAGCTAGACGCGCAGCTAGACGCGCAGCTAGACGCGCAGCTAGACGCGCAGCTAGACGCGCAGCTAGACGCGCAGCTAGACGCGCAGCTAGACGCGCAGCTAGACGCGCAGCTAGACGCGCAGCTAGACGCGCAGCTAGACGCGCAGCTAGACGCGCAGCTAGACGCGCAGCTAGACGCGCAGCTAGACGCGCAGCTAGACGCGCAGCTAGACGCGCAGCTAGACGCGCAGCTAGACGCGCAGCTAGACGCGCAGCTAGACGCGCAGCTAGACGCGCAGCTAGACGCGCAGCTAGACGCGCAGCTAGACGCGCAGCTAGACGCGCAGCTAGACGCGCAGCTAGACGCGCAGCTAGACGCGCAGCTAGACGCGCAGCTAGACGCGCAGCTAGACGCGCAGCTAGACGCGCAGCTAGACGCGCAGCTAGACGCGCAGCTAGACGCGCAGCTAGACGCGCAGCTAGACGCGCAGCTAGACGCGCAGCTAGACGCGCAGCTAGACGCGCAGCTAGACGCGCAGCTAGACGCGCAGCTAGACGCGCAGCTAGACGCGCAGCTAGACGCGCAGCTAGACGCGCAGCTAGACGCGCAGCTAGACGCGCAGCTAGACGCGCAGCTAGACGCGCAGCTAGACGCGCAGCTAGACGCGCAGCTAGACGCGCAGCTAGACGCGCAGCGGCTCAGCGCCCGCGGACTCTGCAATAGGCAACCCGGCCGCACCGCTGCATCGGGGTTGCCCGCGGCCGTCGTCAGGCGCCTTGCCGGCCTTGCTTGAACCGCTTTGGCTCTGCTCTACTCACCCTCGACGAACAGGAAGAAGCCCCTCGGGTTCCGCATGAGTACGGCCAGCGCGGCGCGGGTCATGTCCGCCAGGGAGGGGTCGCCGTCGGGGCCGGCGTCGCGGTCCGCCTCGAAGTCCATGTGCGAGTAGGCGAACAGACCTGCGGCCAGAAGAGGACAGCGTCTTGAAGATACAGAGCAAGAGAGAAGAGAGAGAGAGAGAGAGAGAGAGAGAGAGAGAGAGAGAGAGAGAGAGAGAGAGAGAGAGAGAGAGAGAGAGAGAGAGAGAGAGAGAGAGAGAGAGAGAGGAAGGAGAAAAACGCGACGTTGGCTTCCTTGGTTCCATTTCGACTCGCGGGTCTTAGTGGGGCACGGTGCGTCGCATATCTCGCTGCTGACTCGGGCGGACTGCACCCCAACAACAACAACCGGCACAACCCCCTACAGCACCACCACCGCCACTACCGCCACCAACAACAACAACAAACTGTCGGACGGCAGCACTCCAGTGCACGGCCGTGGCACGGCGGCGCGCCGATTGCAGCTCGTGTCGCCAGGTGGCGCTGCGTCCGCTGCGGAATGGGAGAGCGTCCACTGTAATACTGTAATGCTGACGGGTCGAGGCGGCTGCACAGCCTGGCCAGCGGACAAGTGGGGCGCGAAGCGTGCCGCGGGCCGCAGAGAGAAACGCCCGCGCTGCGAGAAAGGCTCACATTCGGGCGCCACTGTGAAAAAAAAGAAAATTAAAAGGCCGTGGAGGACTTGTGCACGCTGAGGAACGCCACGGCGCGCCACGGCGCCATCTCGCCGAGCGTGCTCGTCGTCGTCGTGGTGCTCGCCGCCCTCGTCGTCCGCGTCGTCCTTGGCGGCTGTGGACACGACGAAAATGGGCTAAAGCGGGCGGAGCGCGGACGTACCAGATCTATTTTTATTGGCCTAATTACTCTGTGTGCGCGGCCGGCGCGGCCAGTCCGAGCCGACATTACAGTGGCCACATAAATCCGCAGTTAACTTCGGGCCGCTTCAGAACGCCCCGAAAAAGTGTGGCTGGGGCAGAGAGAGAATGAAAGAGAGAGGGGGGGAATAGAACTAGCGAGTGTAGGTCGCACGCGGCAAGCCCACGCGCACTGCGCGATACAGCGGTACTGCTCTGGTCAAAGTTTAGTTTTCAAACTCCACGCATTGTCAGAGATGTGTGAGCGCGTTCGCCCCTCATCCCCCTCCCCTCCGCCTGGTCGCGCTGATTCCGCGAAGTATCTTCGCCCCGCGCCGCCAGCATGCCGCCAGGCCGGGCTGGGGTTAAAACAGCGGAGCCCGATCCGCGCCGATCCGCGGCACCGAGGCAAGGCCATGATTCCGAAAAGTTGTGAGTTTAGTCACTCCGTCTCTCTGGCCCTCGTGCGGGATGCCCCATGCGTGTGAGAGCGACAGAGCCGCGAAACGAGTCTCCTAATCGCCGGGCCGGCCGATGGCGCTGCCGGACGGGGTTGGGTTCCGGGCGCGGTCTGGGACACTGGGACGCAGCGCGCGTCGCGCCGCGGGTTTTTCACCTGCGCCTCGGATAACACTCTGCCGCCGCAAATGTCCCGAGCAACGATTTATGAAGGACATTCAACCCTTCGCCCACCCACCCCGCCCATTCCCGAGCAGTGAACCTCCTCCGTGGCGAATGAGGCCGCGCGGGTAGCGTCGCTAGCGTCGCTGGTCCGCTTAAAGAAGGATCGCGCGCTCGAGCCGAGACCGGGCCCGCGCCGTGTTCCACCAGTTCCACGGACTGCGCGAACAAGATCAACTGCCGCGATGCGAGGCTGCCAGGCTCTGTTCGACTTTGTAGCCCCGCCGGCCACCTATCGCTTTGCCTCCGCCTGATCCGCGGCCCACCCGCACCACCTCGCAACATTGTGGCGGCGTTTACGGCGCGGCCATTGTACGCGCCGCCGAGGCCGCTCTGCCGCCGCCGAGGCCGCTCTGCCGCCGAGGCCGCTCTGCCGCCGCCGAGGCCGCTCTGCCGCCGCCGAGGCCACGCCGCCGCCGCCGAGGCCGCCGTCCAGGACAAGGAGGCCGAGTTTGTAATACGCCATAACCTTAATGTGTGGGACGCCGCCCTAACGGCCAGCTCATTCCCCGGCGAGGCCGTGCCGTGCCGCCGTGGCCGAGGTCCATCGCGACTCTGTTTACACGCGGCGCAATAAGGGCCCGGACCGTGCCGAGCCGCAGGGTGCGAAGGGCCGACGGACTGGGCCTCCACGCCAGGCCCTTTGTTTTACGAGGAAGCGAGCCGCGGACAACAAATGATGGCAAAGTCTGTAACGCCAAGTGCGAATCGTAAAGCAGTCGGCGAGTCTGGCGGACTGGCACCTCTTCCGGACGGTGTGGCTGAACCAAGCCGCCGACAAAAAGAAACCAGGAGCAGCGCGGGGGGGATTCGAACCCGAGCCCCAGCAGCAGCGGCAGCAGCGCACCTTGCAGGCGCCTCGCGCTGCTGCGGCGCATCCTTTATCGTCGAGCCCGCCTCGAGGTGGGGGCGGGGCGGTCCACGGGGCGGTCCGGGCGGTCCGAGGCCGTGACGCCGAGGAGTCTGGGCCACACGCCGGCCGAAGCAACGGCGAGGGGAGAGGGGAGCGAGGGGTTATGACCATTGGCCGCGGGGCGCCGCGGGGCCCCGAGATAGCCGTGAGGGGATGAAGCGAGAGCAAGAGGGCAACGAGAGCAGCAGGCCGCGGTAAGAGTGGCTCCCCCGCCCCGGACACGCCCCGGACAACACAGCGACGACGCCCACTAGCCCCAATTGTGCCGGCTATCTGCGTGCTACGTACAGCGCCATCGTTTTAATGAGTTTGACGCGGAGAAAAGTCGAGGTCCTTCAAGACGACGCGTGGCCGCCGCTAGAGACCTAGAGGCTGACGGAGAAGCGCGGGCGCCGTCGCGCGCTGGCGGCCATTTTGTCTGGGCCGGCCCAGAGGGGAGCGGGGAGGGGACAGGGAGCGGAGCGGAGAGCGGTGCGGTAAGGTGGGGCGAGGCGGAGCGCAGCAGACAACCGGAACAGTTTTTCGGCCACAGCTCGAAAACCGTTCAAGTCAGAGTGGTACAGTAAGCGAGCCGATTGTAGATTGTACAGAGACCTACAATCGGCTCGCTTACTATACCCCTCTATCTAGAACGGTTTGGAAGCTGTGACCGAAAAACCTTCTCTAGCCGTTAAGTGCGTGCGCCGCCATATTTTGTCCGGAATATGAGACAGCTCTCCGGCCGCGCGCGAGGAGTATGAGAAACTGTTGGTGCGCTTATCGGCGCCCGCGCTTCTCCGTCAGTCTCTAGGTCTCTAGCCGCCGCCTGCCGTGCGTGCTGTGCCTGCTAGCCGCGTGCCGAAGGCGCCACGCCGTGCACGTGCTTTGCACTCCAGACACGCGGGCCCACGTGGCCCACGGGGTGACATCCAACCTCGACGGAGTTCCGGAGCGGCAGCACTACGCCTAGCGCGGCACGGCGACGGGACGGGCTCGACGACAGCACTCGTTCATCTTGGCTTTCTTGATCAGCCTCCTGGCTGTCACTCGGCCGACGACGACGACGACGACGGGGTCGATTTTAGCGGGCGGGGATCGGAGCGGAGTCCCGAAGCCCAGAGGGAGCTCGAGGACGCGCTGCGTGGCGCTGCACTGATCAGATTGCAGAGGGGAGGCACTGCGAGGCACGGAGCGTTGTCCCAGAATGCCAATCAGTTGAGAGGCCGCTATTGCCGGCGAGAGGCGGCGTGGAGTCCCAGAGCCGTGCCCCACTCGCGGCAGCGCAGCCTGCTCACCTTATGCCGTACCCATGAGACCCACCACCCGGCCGGGGGGCCGCCAGGGCCCCGCTCGACGCGCAAGCCCGAGGGCCGGGCCGCCCTTGGGGCCGCCGGGCCGGGCCGCGCCAACGGCAGCCAACGGCGGACTCCTAAGCGGATATGATATCCATTTCCGTGCGACGGATGTCAGAGTCACCGACGCGTAATCGGCAGAAAGGGGTTGCTGCTGAGGGCGGGGTGGGGGTAGGAGTGGGGGTAGGGGGGCAGGGGTGGTGGTAGGGGTGGGAGAAGGGGTGGGGGCAGGGCTAGAGAAAGGACTGGGGGCGACAATCGACTACACGCGGCGCCGATCGAAAAAACGCCGGCGCTGGCCTCCTTGTTTTCATTCCGGGATAGCTTCCTTATCTCGGCCGTCCCAGATCCCAGATCCCCCGCGCGAGGCTAGCAAGCCAACGCAGGGCGGCTGGAGCGACGCGTGCTACCGGCCGAGCCGAGCCACGTGGAGCCGTCCGGGCATCGAGCCGGGCATCGAGCCGGGCATGCCCTGCAGGACAGGGAAGGGAAGGGCAGAGCGCGCCGGCGACTAGCGCCAAGTCTCTCGCGTCGTCGGCGCGGGACCTGTTCATTCAATGCACTCCCTTCGGCCCCGTCCCCCACCTCCACGCCGCCCAGAGCAGCCCAAAGCGTCCCTTGGACCGCATTTTGTGCGATTAAGCGCCGGGATGATCCTGGAACGGTCCGCTATCACAAAACAATCCCCCCTCCCCGCCCCAATTGGGAGCACTTTCGCCCCTCCTCCCGGGGGAGGCGCGGCAATGTGACGTAGAGGTCACCAGAGTCGGCGCGGCGAGGCGCGCGGAATGAACGTAAAGGTGTCTTTACTTTTTATTCCCTCGTCAGATAAAAGGCCACCGGCCTGTGTTTCCGTTTCCCGGCTCCGCGACGCGGCGGGGCACATCTCATTTTCACGCCAAAAGGCACAAAATTGGGCGCGAAGCCCCGCGGAGACGAGTTTATTGGGGCGGTTGGGTTTGGATTCGCTGAGTAAATTAGGAGAATTGGATCCGTACTCGCTCTGCTCGGTCGGATAGGGGCCTAGCCCAGCGCGAGCAGCGCGAGCAGAGCGCGCCGGGTTGGCTTTGCCGCGGTTTGGCTGCCGGGCCGCCACTGTTAACTAACACACTAACGGCTTGATTGCCCCGGATGAGAAAGAGAAACGGAGAGCGAGCGCGCTCTCTCCGTCCCTCCCGCCCGGGAGCGCGTTGCGCCGGGACGCGGCGGGACGCCAAGGAGATGTCGCCGTCGATGGGCGCGGCTACACTATCAGGCCAAGTTCCGAAACGGAGCGGTGCTCATCGGACAGAGCAGCGTGAC